CAATGGTTTCACTATTTATTTTTCTGGTTCTCTGTTTCAAGGGTGTTGAATTTACTTCCGCAATAATATTATTTACTGTAAGAAATTGAGCATCATGGTCAGAGAGGCCGTTGACTATAGGAGATGTACAAGAAGAGCTTAACCTAGCATTATCTATAAAGATAGATATTAAAGATAACAATTGGAATAAAAACTTCATGTAAACACAAAAGACAACTATATTTGGCCAGCAGGGACAGTAATGATCCAAGACTAAAAAGTCACTACAAAATGTACTGTAAAATTTTGTCAAAAGTCATTAAAGAAGCCAAACAGAATAACTATAACAGCCAAATTCTAAAATCAAACAATAAAATTAAAACCACCTGGGATATTGTGAAAGTTGAATCAGGAAAGAAATCTGTTAATGAAGACGTACAAAGTTTGAATATTGAAGGGAAGTCCACTAACAATCCACAAGCTATCGCAAGTGCATTTAATGAATATTTCCTTTCATTAGCTGAGAAAACATATTCCAATGATGATAATAATAATAATAATCCAATATACTATCTGTCTCGTGCCTTTAACAATTCATTTCCAAATATCAATCTCAAATTCTCAACAAGGAAGGAAATTGAAAACATTATTAAATCCCTTAAGCCCAAAAATTCACATGGATATGATGAAATCTCTACCAAATTACTTAAAGCAAGCTCTGTTTACATCAGTTCACCCTTGAATCATCTATGTAATAAATCTTTATCATCAGGTACTTTTCCTCAACGCTTAAAATATGCTATAATGAAACCACTTTTTAAAAAAGGAGAGAGAAAATGCATCTCTAATTACAGACCAATATCCATATTGACTTCATTCTCAAAAGTCTTTGAAAAAGTTATGTATAATAGACTACTTGAACACTTAAATTCTAACAACATATTAGTCAAAGAGCAATTTGGATTTAGGAAAGACCTAACAACAGAAAAAGCAACCTATGAACTAACTAACGATATTTTAAGTGCTCTCAATGACAGATTAATTGTGGGAGGGATTTTCTGTGATCTAGCAAAAGCTTTCGATTGTGTTAATCATGATATCTTACTATCGAAATTAAATTTCTATGGAATAACTGGCAAAGCTAATGAATGGATCAAATCATACCTCAAAAACAGGTATCAAAGAGTTGAAATAAATAATAAAAACTCCAGTCATAATGCATTTTCAAACTGGGGAATTATAAAGCACGGTGTTCCACAAGGATCAATTTTAGGTCCCTTACTTTTTCTTCTCTACATAAATGATCTATCTAAAACCATCAACAATAAATCTAAACCAATTCTATATGCAGATGACACTAGTATAATATTTAAGAACTCTAAATTTGAAAACTTTAAAAATGACATAAATATTGTATTTGAAGCCTTAAACAGATGGTTCGAAGCCAATTTACTCTCATTAAATTTTGATAAAACCCATTACATATCATTCACAACTAAAAACAACCACCAAATTGATCTGGACATCAGTTATGCCAACAAATTAATCTGTAAAGTACTTGATACAAAATTCCTTGGAATACATGTAGACAGTACACTGTCTTGGAAAATACATATTGAACAAATTATACCTAAATTAAATGCAGCTTGCTATGCGATGAGATCAATTAAGCCTTTTATGTCACAGGAAACATTGAAGATGGTTTACCATGCCTACTTTCATTCTATTATGAACTATGGATTAATATTTTGGGGGAACTCTTCACATAGTGTAATAATTTTTAAAATACAAAAGAATATAATTAGAATCATTACAGGATGTAGAAGTAGAGATTCATGTAGAGAATTATTTAAGAAATTAAAAATTCTACCTCTTCAATCGCAATACATATTATCGCTTCTCTTATTTGTTGTTTACAACAAAGATAAATTCAAATTAAATTCTGATGTCTATAACATGAATACTAGACAAAAATATAACTTCCACCTACCCTCATCAACTTTATCAGTATATCAAAAAGGAGTCTACTTTACTGGCATAAAAGTGTTCAACAATCTGCCACAAAGTATTAAAAACTTGGGCAATGATACTAAAAAGTTTAAATCAGAGTTAAAGAATTATCTACATGCTCATTCCTTCTACTCTTTAGATGAATACTTCAATGTAAATAGAGAATGATGTAAAATTAAGTTATATTAATTTTTAAGCTAAAATTGCCTGTACTTATGTATGTAACCTTTTGACTTGTTCTGTATCCAAAGGTACTAACCTGCTTAGGATTTATAGAATGTAAATAAATTCAATTCAGTTCAATTCAAGATATTATCAATGGCTGTGCTTAAGGAATTTTGAACACTTGTTGCAAAATTCACTGTGTGTGACAGATTGTATGTCCTTATTAAAGAGTTTACTTGTTTTTTTCTGACTGCTTTCATTTAAATAGTTTATTTTTATGTCTCCACAGATTATAGACTTTGGATTGTACAGATATTTTAAAATTGCATCTGGTCTCCTTAGAAATTCATTAACCTCTGCTAAAGGGGCTCTGTACAGGCTTAAAATAATTAGGTGAGATGTTTCAGTTACTAGCTGTATTGCACAGATTTCAAAGTCTTGCCCCTTACAGTGATGAGAAATATCAATTTTACTGAAATGTACATCAGTCTTAACAAAAATACACACTCCTCCCCTCCGTAGGCTCTTTCGCCAAAACCTTCAACCTGACCCATTCATTGAGAGGAGCAACAATTCCTGTTCAACTATGTGATGTTCACTTAGACATATGTGAGAGTTTATGTTGTCTATTTCAAAAGAGTGCAGTAATTCTTCACTTTTGCTTCTCAAGCCTCTCATATTTTGGTGAAAGATATTTATTGAATTTAATGTTTCTGCATTTTGTCTGTGAATTTCCAAGACTGCTGGACTGCATTTAATATACGTGGGGCAATCCAAAAGTTACCGAAATTTGAATTTTGAGCGCGAATGGTTATGAGTACATCGAAATACCGCTAGGTGTCTCCTCACACATCCTTCTTGAATCAGTGTGGCAAGCGGCATTGAGTTGAGTGGTTGGGTTTATTGTTGGTGAATGTATTTCCACTGTTGTGTTTCCGTGAGTCTGAGGTTTTGCGATGGCTGACCTGAGAGAGCAGCGTGTCTGTATAAAGTTTTGTTTCAAACTTGGGAAAACCGCTGCAGAAATGCACCAAATGTTAAAGCAAGGTTTTCGTTGCAACAGTTTAGGCCAGACACAAACTTACGACTGGTAGAAGCATTTCAAAAATGGCCGAACATCGACTGATGATGACGATCGTTCGGGATGGCCGTCAACTGGCACCACACCAGAAAATGTCGCGAAAGTTAGGAATCTGATGCTACAAGATCATAGACTGACCATCCAAGACCTCTCTAACACCTTGGGATTAAGTTATGGTACATGTCAACTAATTTTATCAGAGGAACTGAATATGAGGATTGTGGCGAAGTTTGTGCCACGACTGCTGAAAAATGAACAGAAGCAGCATCGCTTGGAAGTCTGCAGGGAACTTCAACAACTGCTTCAAGTGGATCCAAACTTTTTTTTTGAAGGTTGTCACTGGTAATGAAAGTTGGGTTTATGGCTACGACCCTGAAAGTAAGCAGTAATCATCGCAATGTAAGAGCCCTTCTTCACCTAAGCCAAAAGATGCTCGACAAGTCAAGAGCAACTTTAAGTCCATGTTGATCTGTTTTTTTTTTATTGACGGGATTGCTCATAAGGAGTTCGTCTCTCCTGATGAGACAGTCAGTAAAGAGTTCTATCGCGATGTTCTAAGGCGTTTGAGGGAGGACATGAGGAGAAAACATCCAGAGAAGTGGCGCACAAACGACTGGGTACTCCACCATGACATCGCATGACCACATACGGCTTACATTGTGCAGGAATTCTTGGCTAAAATCAAGATGACAGTTGTTCCCCACCAACCATACTCGCCAGACTTAGCTCCATGCGACTTCTCTCTCTTCCCCAAGATGAAAATCAAGTTGAAGGGGCAAAGATTTGATACAGTTGAGGAAATTCAAGCGGAAACGCAGACGGTACTAAACACCCTAACAAAGAAAGACTTCCAGGATGCATTTGAAAAGTGGCAGAAACGCTGGAATCAGTGTATGCGCTCCCAAGGGGACTACTTCGAAAGTGATGGTGCAGAATAAGATCCAGGTAAGACGTAATAGTTTTTATTAATATATTTCGGGAACTTTTGGATTGCACGACGTATGTTAGGCATCTTGGTGCTTTTGAATTTAATGCAAAATGGAGATGCCCTAGCATTGGTTATAACAGGAATACTGCTTATACCTGACACACGGCCACCAACAACCCTCTCAGCAATAAGCTGAGTGAGCCTCTTCTTGCCTCGAGAGCTCAGGTGCAGGCCATGCATTGTGTAATCTTCCCTTAAAATTGATGATGTGTCAATGACACCAATGTGAGACATGTCATGACCCATCAGGGCCCCATCGAGCCTTGGATTCATGTTCCTAACCCTCCCATTCATCCACGGCTTGTCATGCCTCTTAAAGAGGCTGACAAATCCCACATTGGTGTTTGATGTCCTCTCTGCAATGTAGCTGTGATCATTTTCAATTGAATAATGATAGTTTCTATCCAGGCTGTTTCCTGGCCCTCCCACTATAATATGATCTTGCTTGGTAAGGCCTTTACCAAGCTTCCCTAAATCCTCAACAAACTTTGCAAGAAGAGCATTTGGTTTACAACCTGGTCACAGTGAAGGTGGTATTGAATTCACATACTCTGATGTCTTTTTCCTTCCCGAATATGTAAAAAGAAATAGTTTGCATTGTGAGAGTAAACATCATTCCTACTGCTTACTACAGGCAGGGCCATATCTAAATTCATTCACACGTTCAAAAGGCAAAAAAATATATATGCATTCAGATGTTTCACTGAATTTTGCTTCTACGAATTCATAATTATAAAATTACTTAAACTAGGCGGATTCATATAGCATTATGTTCACCTTAGACTTGTAAATTCTTTCAGTCCAACTGACCCACCAAGCACAAAAATTATGAAGGGTAGGCCATGTCGAAAAAACCTTTTATTTAACAAATCTTTTAATTTTCCCATAACACCAGCAAACATCAAAACACACACACTAAGATATATGTGGCGCACTGTTTCAGAAATTCAGAAATCTCTCTGTAAGTTTCTTCTGTTACACACTTCGACCTCACGTGGTGATCATCAGGATCATCAGTTAGATACTTTCATATTGCGACATTTAATTGCGTTCTAGTTACACTGATCTAGAACCTAATCAAAGTTAGTTCCAATTATTGTCAAATTCTGTTAAAATTTATTAATCAATATAAGTAAGAAAGAAGTTTTAACTAATTTAACAAAATTCTATGATATCCCTACAAATTAAATCCTGCATTGGTACTTCGGCCAATTTCATTCTCTGGTTACCGCTACTTACCTCTGCTCACACGGTACAGAACATCGAGCCAACGTGCAAACATACCACTATCTTACCATAGCGTGACCGTGGTATTGGACACGGATCCTATGCAATACCTGCCAAGGCGCATGAGTGAATGCGTGTATGGTTGAATACACATTTTGAACTCGGCACTAGCTAGCTAGCTAGAGGTGAGTGGTTAGCTTCACGCCATGGCCGCGTTACCCCGGGTACCCATTGGATAGAAGGTTGGGTGGACCCCAGAGCCGGTCTGGACCGTCTGGACGGCGTGGAGAAGAGAAAATTTACCCTACCAGGACTCAAACTCCGACCCCTCGGTCGTCCAGCCCGTAGTCAGTAGCTATAGGACTACGCTTTCCCGGCTCCTAAAGGTAGCATACATACATACATACATACATACATAGCTACATGGTTTCACAGATCCTTTGTCCGGATACCGGACTGGATATTGAACTCGTCACAGCCAAACTGACATTGCAATGTGCAACCTGGTCTAGACAATAAAATATTCAACAATTANCCCCAGGAAGATTCCTGGTGTTCATTTCTGTTACAGGCTGAGTCGACCCCGGGGCCATATTGCAGATGGAAGGAATAGGGCAATTGAAAAGCCCAATGACCTCATCAGGAATCAGACCCGCGACCTTCCGACTTGTAGAATAGTGATTCCACCAACTACATTACTGCGTGCTCCTCATATTGTACATATAGCATGACATTGAAAACTTTTCTTTTGAACTATATTGTCATGATTCTGGTGTGTGTGACTACAGCCAGGGTATGGACTGGATGAATTGGATTTATTCACCACTTGTATACACCACTCAGAACTACACCATGCAGATCACCAATACGCACAGACTAGTGTCCTTAATCTATTAAGTCTCCACAAGCCCTTTCCTGGCATTGGCTTCTACCAAAGGATTCTTCAGCTTCCCGCACTCAGGTCCTCTTGTCACAGCCAGCTGTGCACAACTCTTGTCAACTTGTAACTCAACTGGGTTCCAGCCTGGCAGCCATTTCACATCAACATCCTAGTCATCTCTTCACAGGCTGACTTCCAACTGAACTCTCTCATTCCCCAACCAGCTACTTCATGTCAATGAACTGCTGACAACTCCAAAGTCACTGAACTGCTGACAATTCCAACTGCAGTCAAAATCAAAGTGAAAGTTACTTTAGGACTGGTGCCAGGTCACTTGAAACCCATAACCTGATTCTTTCCCTCAACTGAACTCCTGCGGTACTGGTCCTTATGTAACATCCTCTCTGATGAGAAGATTGGTTTATGTCTTATGAATATGATTGGCTTTTCGTCATATGTATATTTTGTACATATAACATTATCGAAAATTCTTCCTTTTGCACTACACACAAGTCCTGTGTCAGCACAGGCTTCAGAGAGCAGATCATGCCTAACCTACGTATCTTATGCTACAACAGCAGCTTAGTCATCTGAACTGTCGTAAGATTAACCACCGCCAAGTTATATTTTCTCTGTCTGGTTTCACCTTGTCCTACACCAAGAACATGTTCATTCTCAAGATTTTGTATGACTTCTGCTTGTCACCTGCACAATTTTGTTATATAATTGTACACATGCAGAAGGTTTAAAGCTGTGAGTAAATTGCAGACCATTGCGCACCTTGGAAAATTTCCAATGGTGCGCATGGACTTGTTTTGCAGTTTTAAGAGGTTGTGTCTGCCGCTAATTTCCAGGCGGGACTAGCGTTAAGTCATTGCTAGGGCCCGGATCTTTATGCACTAAAAAGCGGGAAAATATGCACAAAAAATAAAACAATATGCACTTAAGAGACATGTTACTTTATTCAGACTCACCTATTTACATGTATCATTAACTGCAGAAAGTAGCATCACAACTGGCAACTAGAAGTCTTTCAGTATTTTCTGCAGACAAACTAAGTCTATTGTCTGACAAAATGAGTTTAAAGGCTGAGAATTATCTTTCTACATCAACTGACGTGATTGGACAGTATTTATACACTGGCACTGAAGGTTCAGAACATTCATCTGGCAAAGATACCCTAATTCCACTCAAGTACTGACTAATTGACTGAATCTTTTTCAGTCCTGGGTTCGAATTCAACACCATTTCTAACTTGCACTTAAACTTCTCTCCAATTTCACCTGGAGCGGAATTCATTGAACAAGTTACTTTCTGAGCGAGTTCAAGTGAGTCGTGAAGGAGTGCACCACAAGATTCTAAGCTCTCAACGGCTTTTGAAACTGTAGAAAAATGTGCACGGATAAAATTCACATCTTGATAAACAGTATCATTTCCAAACACCACTTTTGCTTCACGGACACATGCATATTCATCTTCAAGTTTTGTAACCACTTCTCTTACTTGTAAGATTTGAGGTTTTCACGGCGGTGACTATAAAGAAAGCAGTCTTCTGGGATGTGGCATCGTGTAAATGTGTTAACCGACGTTTCGGGGGAACATATCGCCTCCATCTTCAGGGTAGAAGGAAACAGTTTAAACTGTTCTCACTGTCTCTTTGCCAGTGGATTTTCTTATTTTTTCTTCTACCCTGAAGATGGAGGCGATATGTTCCTCCGAAACGCCGGTTAACACCACATCTACATGGTGCCACATCCCACAAAACTGCTTTCTTCACTTCCCTTACTTGATTGAAATTCACCTGATAAAATGAAACTGCAGATAACTATGTACCCCACTTAGTTAGGACAGCTTCAGGTGGCAGAGGAACCTGAGATAGGCAATCTTTGTAGAACTGGACACGAGCTGGTGCTTTCAGAAACACTTTTCTCCCACTTGCAATTAAATTGTTAACAGCTGGAAACTGTGTGTATTTTTTTCTTCAATAAGGTGTAATCTGTGCGCTTAACAGGTTACGTGTATAAATTTGGATAAAATACTTGTAAGGCCTTTGCTGCTTTCAACATATAGGAATCTCCATCTGTGAGTAATTCAAGCACCTTACAACAATTATTCTCAATTTCAGATGGCTATAGTAGTCGCAGAGAATAATTTACAAATCTTGCTATTGTGCTATGGTTGGTTTTCTCTAGTACTTTGCAAGCAAGAAGATGAGGTTTGCCGGGTTCGTCTGAATGTAGCTTACCAACTACGAAATTTGCTATGTATTGGCCATATAAATTGGTTGTCTCATCCACCGATATCCAGACACAGTTCCCTCTGGTGTCAGAATGGATTGGTTCCAGAGTAGATTCATACAGCAAAGGTAGACAATTTTTTAAAAGAGTTGATTCATCTGAGATTTTTTAATTACACAATATTTCACCAGAAATTATCGCAGAACTGGATTGCTTAATTTATTCCATGGAATGTTGCTGCATATTAAAGCCTTACAAAGATCGGCTGAACATGTATTAACAGAGGACTTGAGTTTGACCCGTGTAAGTAGTAGTAGTGGTGTGCGGTTCTTCTTTCCCTTCTTTACCGTAATATGTTCAGTCATTCTTGAGTGTTTTTCAAGTTGAAATTTTTTCTCACATTTTACTTCCTTTGCGCAAACCTGACAGTACACGATGACACCATCTGTTGAATAGCCACTCTTACCCGACACCCACTTTAGCTATCCCTGTAACAGGCCATGAAGGCCCATAGGGTTGTGAGATGTTGAGGGTCCCACATTATCAAGACAATCAGATCATAGATGGTGTTATGCCACAAATTTCAAAAAAGGGAAATTTGAGGCACTGCCCCAATGTTACGACAATTGCTAAGAGTTTGCACAACGATCAGGGTAAGGATGGCAACACCTAGACTGTGGATCTAGGTCAGGAATGTTTGTAGTCAGCAGAGATGCGTAATCGCACAGGCAGGAAGCTTGCCTTACTAGGCCACTGGAGTAAATGAAATTATTAAATACACAGCGACAAGACGCTGCAGATTCGTCCGCGACAAAAGGGGTTGGCCAATGGGAACCCACCACCCAGAAATTTAGGGCAAAGGGAGGAGTTAACTTCCCTCTTATGTCAGCTGCTGCGCCAGCCGCTAGGGGGTATAAAGACCCAAAGGAAAGACTTGGGGGGACTGATCAAAAAAACGTAATATTCGACAAGCAGCCAAAGGCTCTGTTCGGCATGGGTGCTACAAGTGGCGGTGTTGGTCTGCGTCTCTATCCCAAGTAAGTCAGTTACTCATACTAGCCATGTTGCTCAAATTCATTGTTGTTTGTGAAATGGTTGAAGTGCAATCTCCAGTGTGCCCTGGAGCCTTAGGGTAGGATAGGAGAAATAGTATAACAAGTGATTGCGGGGGTTGCTAGTGTGGTAAATATGGCTGTCGTTACATTGTGTGTTACAATTTGCTGGTAGTATGCAGAGCACACATATTTGTTGTTCATTGTTGTGACCATTGATTTTGTGATAAATATACTTAGGTTTTTTAGTATTTAGAGTTCTAGGAGTAGAATATTTTAAGGGTGAAACATTATGATAGGCTAGGGTGGACCTGTGAAATGAGTGGTAAGGAATGGAGGAAAAAGGTTCACGTCGAACGAGTAAACTCGTACAGCCTCACGAGCCGAATTAGGAGAGGAAAAGAGATGGACTTGAGTCATCTTCCCTAGAAGGGAAAATCATAACGAAGTGATGGCCTGGTGAAGTAAAGACACTATGTAGTCCCAACTAAAAGTCGGCATTGTTATTACTGTAAATATTATTGTAAATAAGGGTGTAAATAGACCAGAGTTATTATGGTAGGATGTACTCAGAGTTGAGATTTACTGCCATGAATGGAACCCTTCCTCGACCGATCCGGAGCTATCCTAGTCCCGATGAAGGCAGAACTGACCCCAGGCAGCCAACGGCAGCTGTATGCAACGAAGAAGGTTCAGAGCCAAGAGAATCCTAGTTGAGGGTAATCAAATAACACCCCAGTCTTGGGGCGTGACAGGTAGTGGGTAGAGACAGGGCAGAACCCACATGCCCACTCTATGCCATTACAAAGTGGCGCCAGTGAAGGTGGGATCAGCCAACGAAAGGATGGCGACGGAGTAATTTAGCATCAACTTGTTTAACCACCCCCATCACCACGGTAGTACAATTGGTGACATAGGTGGTACAGTGAAAGAATGTTCACCTGCGGGAAATAGTAGTTTCTGTAACCCCCCCCCCTTTTCAGGCACAACAGATGGTGGTGAGGTTGTCAGCCTTATGCGCCTTACTCCCCAGAAAAATTATTTAATTAATTCCTGGTACTCACTTCTGTTAGAGGCTCAGTCAACCCCAGGGCCATAGCGCAGCTGGAAGGATTAGGTCAATTAAAAAAAAATCCAGTGACCTCATTGGGACTTGAACCCACGACCTTCTGGCTTGTAGCATAGCCCCTCAACCAACTACACTACAAATATCTACTGCTGCACTTTTCTTTAGGCATTTTCAGTACACGAACACTTTTTTGATGCAGACTATTAAAAAAAAAAAGTAACACATTAACTGAAGAGACTTCTCTCAAGACCAACCCTCTGATGCTACTGTCTGCTGTGGTGGTCAGAGAATGCAGGAAAATCCCGCCACCTCCCTTTCAAAATAGCCAACCTACCTGCTTGTATTGCAAGTGGTAAAAGTGCCATTACTCAGAGTTAAGAATAGCAACTGGCACGGGATATCCATAACACAGGCAAAACCGATTTTGTTAGAGAATATTCAAATTATCCTTAATTTCAAACATATATGTAGAAATATGCAATAACGACCAAAAACCCTCAAAATATGCATTTTCAAAAAATTTGGGCCCTAGTCATTACTGACCTGATCAGTGCCTTATGGAGGGTTACTTTATGTGTAATGTTAACGCTTAAACACACACTTTTGAATAGTGTGTAGATTCTAATACATATTCAGAAGGCCTTGGCTTCAATCATTTCTACGTGCAGTCTCCATGTAATCATCTTACTGAAGGTTACACCCAAATATTTTACATGATTGACAAAGGGGATATTCTGTCCATTCAATGTAAGATGAGCCTCAGGGGGGGCTCCCCCTACAGCTCAGTTGGTCAAGAATCCTTCTTTTGTAGTCATGGGTGACTGTCTAGCAACAGACTTGCTATCATTTCCGTGAGAATGTGTTTACCAACCGTTACTCAGAAATAGGTGTTTGCTTATCTGTCTATGCACAACAATAGGTCTATACACCACATTTCTCCCTCCTTAAGGCTATTCATCCCAAATAGCCTACAGGCATACGGCCATTTCTCCTATACTGTGGGTTGTGCTTGCAACATCCCTGCTTGGTCTCACCTTCCTCCCTGTGTTACAGTTTTCGCGGTGTTTACTCTCCAAACACTCCTGCTGTTCCCTCCTTAAGGCTGCTCATCCCAAGTGGTTCCCTGATAAGCGTGCCAGTCCCAGATTTTTCACCATCATCCTGCTTTTCTGATTGGTGGGGGTAAAAGTTCTGAGAATGGTAATGCTCCTACATCCCTGGCTCTTAATCTGTGTGCAGTTTCTTTTTCCGTTTTGGACAGGGCCAGCCCCACCATAATGTCCTGATATTCATTTCCTGAATCCAGATGGAAGATCCAGCTATTCACTTCAAGGTCTCCCAAGCAAATTGTTTTCCCAAAGATCCTGCCCACTGTCCTCTTGCTCCTCAGACATGGTCGCTTCTTTAAGCCTTGGGTCCATATTCCATTGAAGCTTTCCAGTTCTGCCCAACATTTCTTCCTGCATGTTCATTCTTTCCAGGTTCCTTGTACAATATTTTCCCTGGTCTGTTTTTTTTTTTTTGTCACCTCTCATCGTTGGTCTGCTACGACCACATCCTTTATGCCATGGCACTCATGCTTGACAGGTCATCCCTCTGCAGGCAACGGCCATCTTCTTCCAGGACCCACCATAACCCTGGGTCCGTTTCTTTGGCAGACCGTAGCACCCTCCAGCTAGATGCCAGTCCCCAGGCCGCTTCTTCAGTGATCCAACGTGATTCACTGCGGCCTCTTCCTTAGAGGCCTCTTTATGCTCCACACTGGACTCTCTGTCCTGCATTTGTCTAAAAATCTGTGGCGTCTTTCCTAGACAGGCCTACCTTATCTCCAGCCAGAAGTCCATCCTTTCTTTATGGGCAACCTCCTTGGCTATCTTCCATTCCTGGCAGGCACTCCAACACACACACACACACACACATACAGCACAGAAATCCAAAGAAGATGCAGAGCACAGCATGCTAAAAAGAATACAAACTGACAACTGGGACAGCAGGTTAAGCAACATGGTGATAGTTTAGAGTCAGATGGGTGACCACACAGCTTGAATCCACCCTCCTACTGTATAGTATACCAATAGGAAGGCACTGATTTGACAAACTGGTATAAATATCAGTGGCATATGGTGATCATTCACAACACTGACCCTAATGACAGACCAAGGAGATTTCTGAAAAGTTGGTTTTTAATTCAACATTGTCATGGCTGTCGCCTGAAAAGACTTTAGCACATTGATTTTCTGTGAGAGCTTCAAATGTTACATAATAAACAATTTCAGAAACAAAACTGCAAGTACACTTCATACAAAAAGTTATGATAAAATGTGGTGACTAGATAGTATTCATTAATTATGAAGATGCTGGAAAAAATGTCCTTCATTTCATGTGCTGCTTTACTACATGTGTAGCATCAAGACATTGACAGTTCCAATGGATTTTTTCATGACTTCCACCTATTTGAGGAAGAGTATGTTACCCATGAGGTAAGACATCCAATACTCTATTTCTTCTACTGTTTGTCATTTTTCAGTTACACAGCTGTCAAACTTATTATGACACTGAAGGATACAGAAAACAATTTACAGCATTAACACGTCAAACTATGTTCTTCATAGTAAAAGCAGAATCATTACTCTTAAACTGACATCATTTTGTGATGAGGAGAAAACAAATGGGTGCACACAGCAAAACTATCATATGCAATGTCCAATGTCTGCACAATATGGCAACTCGCCTCAACTTAACATTACTATCATTCCCTTACTGGGGAAGTAAGAAAGAAAGTCTGCCTCAGCAGTGCAAATGATTGATACGATACCATCTAAGGAACTTAGAGATCCACCTGTCATAGGGTACTATAATTTGAGCTGAAGTACTTACATACAAAGTTTCAGCCAGTAGTTGCTATAAAAACTCAGCTAATCTCTTCTGTCTACCAGTGTCCACTTCAGCTGTGGGACTAAGTGTGCAGTTTCTTTTTTAATTTGCTTAGTGGGGGGTGGAGTCCAACTGGGTCCACTCAGCACAGCAGCCACTGATTGGCCTATTGTAGCCTGCCTCCGGGTGATGATGATGATGGAGAATTTGGTGGAATGAAGATTGGCAGGGGAAACTGAAGTACTCAGAGAAAACCCACCACAGTGCCACTTTGTCCACCACAAATCCCACTTGACCAGACCTGGGATCGAACCCGGGCCGCTGCAGTGGGAAGCCAGCGACGAACTGCTTGAGATATGGTGAGGCCTAAGTGTGCAGTTTACTAGGACATGCCAGGTTTGATTCCAACTGTCACCACTAATCCAGAAAGAGAAGAAAACAGGACTTCTGTCAATACAGCAACAAATAATCATCTGGATATGGAAACAGAGCTAACCTACAGATCATATACTTCAGAAAATGAACAGTAACAAATATAGCTGTATAATGAGCCAACTTCCAAATGTTGAGTACAGTAAATTTATTCTACACAACAGACAATGTCCAACACATCAGTCAGATCAGTTGACCCATGTCATAAGTCTTTAGAAAATCATTTACCCTGTTACAGGGCCTTAACTCTGATGGAAACTGCATGGATACAAATTGTATCATTGTTATAAATGAAAGAAATGACACTCTTCAAATACAGTGAAAGTGTGATAAAGCACACATTCCTTATAACACAGATTTCATTATGGTGACAAAAGTCATCTGAATGTTACATATATGGAAAATAATCACATAATACAAGGAATCTTGTCCAGCACCTTCATCATAAATAATGATTCCTATTAGTTTCCATGCCTTCTTGTAATGGTTTGCATCAACTGCACTTGCAAGATTATTAAGATTAGCAGTCAGTAAAGGTGCCACTAATCCACCCTGTGTCATATCCTTGTCTAAATGAAATTTGCATTGCAGAATTTGAGAGCAAATTAACACCCACAAATTTCAACCACTGAGAAATGTAGATCATGTAATGACCTCTGAATTTTCTCTTTGGTCAAGCAACTTGCTTCACTGCATACTGCTGGTAAGTAAAAGTAAAGGTATCCTTGTAACAGGCCATGAAGGCCCATAGGATTGTGAGATGTTGAGGTTCCCACATTTTCTAGACAATCGGCTCATAGATGGCGGCAAGGTTGTCATCCCTACGAGCCGGCCGCGCTTTACCCCTAAGAATATACCAAGAATATTTCTGGTACTCATTTCTGCTAGAGGCTGAGTCAAACCCAGGGCCATAGTGCAGCTGGAAGGATTAGGTCAACTGAAAAAAATCCAATGACCTCATTGGGACTGGAACCCGCAACCTTCTGGCTTCTAGTATAGTGTCTCAACCAACTGTGCTACAGCATGCCCCTGCATACTGTGTTGGTTGGCTAGCTAAATTCTGATTTCTCATGACACCATGTAGTACATTCCAGTCTTTGTAACACAGGTTTCCCTCTCCCTAAGCTAGATTCAATAATGATATCACAGAACATATCCATGGATACATATGTTTAAGGTTATGTCCACATTAAACTTACATCGCAGTTTGGTTGATGTAAATTCCAAATTCTGTGTTGCTGTACCTTCACATCATTCTACTGTATACACCATTCATTACATACATACAGGGAAAAGAGTGCTTCCAACTATGTATGTATTGATGTGTCTTCAGACTACTCTTCCTTCTGAATGGTTTATTACACACATTACAGGAAAATGTCCACTACTGACTATGCACAAGTAGGTGTCTCTTCAGACTACTCTCCCAACGGAATGTTTTATTACACACATTACAGAAATATGAAGGCTCTTCATTATGTATAAGTTGATGTGTCTTCAGTACACACTGTTGCATGAATGTTTTATTACAGATGTTACAGGAAAATGGCCGCTCCCCACTATGTATGCATTGATGTGCCTTAAGATCACTGTGCCGAATGTATGATTTATCACACATATTACATGAAAATGGCCTCTCCCCACTATGTATATGCTGATGCGTCTTCAGTACACACTGTCGACTGAAAGATTTATTACACACATTACAAGAAAATGGTCGATACCCACTATGTATACTTTCATGTCTCTTTAGATCACTCTGCCGCGTGAATGATTTATTACATACCATACAGAAAAATGGCCGTTCCCCCCTGTGTATGCCTTGATGTGTCTTCAGATGATCCTGTTGACTGAATGACTTATTACATACACTACAGGAAAAAGGACGCTCCCCACTATGTGTACGGTGATGTTTCTTCAGATGATTCTGCTGATTGAACGATTTATTGCATATATTACAGGAAAATGGCCGCTCCCCAGTATGTATACGTTTATGTTCCTTCAAATGACTCTGCTGCCTGAATGATTTCTTGCACACATCACAGGAAAATGGACGATCCTGACCATGCACATCTTGTGGTTCATTCAGAGTACTCTGGTGAAAATATAAAGAAATGTATGATATAAGACAAAAAATGATATTCAAAGTAAGTTATAAATGACATAAAATATATTTTTTTACAAGGATGTGTTATTTACCAAATTCCATTACAAAACTTGAACTGCCACGTGTAATCTGCAGTTACAGTACTATATGCCTTTACAAAATAGTTACAGTAGAGCAGCACATGAAAGACATTTTGGTATATCTGTGTTCAAATAAAGAACTGTGGAGCCAGAGAAACAGCCATTGCTAGGTAACGACTGTGTAACATGCAACAATGGAGTAACTGTTAGACATGGTGTTTTCTGTGTGGTCCATACTGAGGCTATGTAACAAGGACCAACTGCCATTAAGGGACAGACCTGAAATGGCAGTTAGAGGAGTAGGAGGTTGGTGTGAGATGGTCACCAGCCAGTGAGGACATGAGCTTGGCAGCAGAGATATCTACTGTTGGAAGACGTTCTGAAGCAGAGTGGTGAAGACTGTGACTGAGAACATGGCCGTCTCTGTGTGACAGTGATTTGTAAAGTGTAGTCATGAGTTGTGTATTAAAGTGTCCAATAAATCTGATTACCTATCCAAATCCCATCTATAGTCACACTCAAAACATGTGATAATATTTTGGAATGTGTGCTTGATAAATAAATGATGTAATATGACAATTACATATATTTTCATTGCAATAATGCACCAGCACACACCACAGAAGATTGAGTGTAGTCCCTGTGGACTGTTTTCAACAGATACTATGTAGAGGTCTGTGGATGTCACCTTACCAGATCTGATCTGATTTTGTGGAATTATTACCTCCGGGGACATATCGAAGAAAAAGTCTACAGATATATAATTCATACATAATGGAGGGCTTACAGATTGAAATATGGAAAGCTATTCTAGAAATCTCTAAATACGTAATTTGAAGTGTGTCACAGAGCATGTTACATAGCTATGGAACATGCCTGCAAGTTAGAAGTTACATTCAGATAAGTGGGTGCACTGGAATAATATTTAAGCGTGGCTATAGCTCTGACTTACAGCCAGAGAGCCCATGACTTTTAATGTGACAGAACCTGTCTATATGTCTGAATGGACAGTAATGTGGCCAAAAGGACAAATGTTCCAGCCAAGATAAACTGACGACCACTCAAATGAAATCAAAAAGTGAAGTGCCATAAAGACTGACCGGACTTAATTCAAAGAAATAATAAGACACACTAAACAGAAGTTCAGGTGCATCACAGCACTGGTTCAGCTGCAGGCTCATACACAAGGTCAGTAGTGACCTGTGGGTCACATAACAAGATGCCTTGGAGACCTGTCAGCTAGATGGCTCATTGTGCAGCTGCCAGATTACCCAAGAACTACAACAAAAGGAAGGAAGAATATGCATTCATTAATGGGGTAGATGGTTAAAGAAACAAGTACCACAATAAAACAGGCACACACATACACACAGAGCAGATTCAAGTTAATATAGCTATTGCTTAACTGGAGAAGCCATTTTTTTGGGACAACTCTTGGAGAACAAAAACAAATCAATAATATAACAAGAATTTTCTTTGCTTATTTGGGACATTTAACTGGGCAGCTGCTGCCACATGGGGCACTTGTGATTAATATGTCATCAATGGGTCACCTAGCTACAGCTGAACAGCATAACACAGCAACTGCATTTGTGAATCTACTGCAGCATGAGCAGCAACATTTTCATTTAAAATTTTAGATCCCTACAGAAATGCCTAACATAGTGGAACAAATTAAAAACCAACTGCCTAACACCAGTCATAGCCAACTGGCAGGGATTCATGGAGAGCCAAATGCTACAAAAGCAGCATGCGAAACTACAAGATGAATGGACATACACAAAGAACTGGGAAATGCCCAAAAATGGAAGGGTGAAGGTAAGGATCAAGATGCTGAAGAGGTCCTCAGTCAGTTTTTATCATAATTGGATGAGCTGTAGGTCTTAGCATTCCAATGTTTGAAAGAAAGTCAGAGGAAATAGCTAAAAAGCTGGGTCATATCAATTTCAAAGCAACATATGGTTGTCTCGACGGAAATGCAAGTTTGGGATAAAATTCAAGAAGGCACATGGCAAAGATAGTGCTGATGCTGTAAGTACTGAACATGGATATTCACAAAGCTGCCAAACTTGCTTCAGAAATTATGCACAGTTACCTACAATTCCAATGAAATAGGTTTATTTTATTGTGCCACGCCAGATGGCTCCCTTACCTATAAACATGCAAAAGTATGCAATGGATTGTGTAACTGTGTTTTGCTGTTCAAACATGTCATGAACTGATAAACAGAAGTTGCTGGATATTTGGAAAGGGGACAAGCCTCAGTGGTTTAAGGGAATTAGTACAGATACTCTACGAGTTCTGTATTATACTAACAAAAACGTGTGGATCACATTTGAAATTTGTAATAAGTGGCTAATGAGTTGGGAGTGGAATTACAAAGGAAACTGAGGAAAATTTTACTGTCTTAACAACTGTGCAGCACACATTCATTCAGATTCTTTGAAAACACAACCTAACCTGGTACAGCCAATGGACATGGGAACCAAAAAATTTGAAGACTTTATATTTCACAAAGTATGTAAACTACATCCTTGAAAACATTCATGAAAATCTACTGACACCACCTTCAACAGCTACAAAGACAGTGCAAGGACTAATCTTTTACAAGCATTATAGTTTACTGCCAATATTCTGCGAAGAGTAAATATCAATACCATTCAGAAATGTGATGCTCACTGTGGTACTGAACACTCAGACTTGGTGGTACCAAATATGGCGAATAGTGAAAATGACCATCATATTGGAAATGGACATCAGAAATTACAAAGAGTTTCCAAGAATCAACAATAGTCTTCAATGGCATGATGAAAATGAAGATTATGAGGAAGCAGTTGTTGAACAAACTGCAACAATACACCAGAAAACATCAGAAGATCAGGAAACCGAAAATAACATACCCGAGCATTATTTGAGTGACTATGATGCTACAAAATGTATTGCTGGACAACTGTCTTTCATGCAGGAAGGCAATAAAGGCAATCCTACATCTGCACTAGAAACCCGGGCTGATTTTGCTCAGTTGCAGACAATCAAGGGAACATGGCAGGGGGCACTCAATCAGTTCTTTCATCAATAACTGTTAAGATGTATATGCATACTTAATACATAAATTAATTTTGTTTTTAGGGTAAATATTTTTCTGTGAATTGCACAAACTGTTTCAACTCATCTAAAGTCAGTATTTTTGTTACTCAATAAACAAAAAGCTTACTTTTTTGTCTTATGTACATGTACTCTTTTTAATTCTTTACATACAACTTCATATAGTTGGGGCAGCCACTTAATTGCAACAAAATACTCTTGTCTCTGTGTGGCCCAATTAGTTGGAATCCACTGTATATAGCAACTTCTCTGTGAAAACAAAGTTTTCCTCAACCCAAAGACAAAAATTTTTTGCTCCAGAGCTCTAGATCAAAACATTCTTCATCCTTGATGTTTCTCCTTTACATGCTGCTACTAATCCCACCCTTCAATGAATTCACTGGTCTGCCCCACCTGCTTTTCCCCTGTGGGTTCCATTCAGCAACTTGCCTAGCAATTCTACAGTCCTTCATTCATATGATGTGGCTGTACTATCGCAATTGCTGTTCCTCTATTGCCTGTAATATGTCTTTCTTCATTCCAATTTTTATTCCAATTGTTTCATTTCTAATTCTATCCATTTGTGATACCCTTGCTGCAGGCCTTAGATGATCCATTTCTGTAGCTAATAATTTATGTCTGTTTCCATTTTATTGACCATGTTTCCACTCCATATGTTAATATACTTTTACTATTGATTTGTATATTAATAACTTTGTTCAGTGTAAAATATTTATATTCCAATAACCGTTTCACAGTCAGAATTGTATACATATTAATTTAGAATGTATTTGTTATTGCTGTAATTTGTATAACCAGTTGGTTAACATTTACCTTTCCCAGGGCTTGCCACAGTAGTTTTCTTGGTACACTGTCACAAGCCTTTTGTTTTCTAAATGATACATTTTTTTTGCAGTCAGCATCTCTTCAAAAAGCAAAACAAGAGGGTGATACAGATTAATTCCTTTGGCATTGTTTGTGATATGAGGCCTAACAGCTAGAGTAAGGGACCAGGAAAAGAGCCATTGCTAGGCAACGGCTGCATAACACACAATACCAGAGCCATCGCTAAGCAATGTATGCACACAACAATGGAGGAATTGTTGGAAGTGGTGTTTTTTATTCAGTCTGAACCGAGGCAGATAAAAGTTGATTGTGTAGTGTGGGTTGGTTCGGCAGTTGGGAGCCAGTTAAGAACTGACAGCTGAAGTACGTACTGGCTGAAGCCAGTGGTCAGAGCATGAGATGGTCGCCACCATGTAACAATGTACGCCCAGAAGCAGAGAAAAATCCACACTGAAAGCTGCCGCCATGCAACGTTACTGAAACACCAATCTACATGTGACAGCAATGTGTGGACTCATGAGCTGTAAAACTGTCTGAGCTATCAATCAAAAACCTGTCTATCATCACTGGAATGTGTGATAATATTAAAGATGAGAAAATACAGTAACACTGTTCTCTTCATTTACAAGTATATTAAGTGAAACTTGTTTCATTATCTCAGTTGTGACTGTGTGATGAGCATAATCAGATAAAGGATGTGCTACCAGTGCAACCTCATTGGCACGGGAAATTCAGATGCTACAGATCACATTCATGTATGTTACAAAGAGGGTTGCCGGTAGCCGAGCGGTCTAAGGCATGCAATGTCTTCGCTCGCTCGGAAGCCGGAATCATGGGTTCGAATCCCACTCAGGGCATGGATGTTTGTGTGCGTTTTTCTGCGTTTGTCTACAGGCAGAGGCCTTGCGACGAGCTGATCACTTGCCCAAGGAGTTCTACCGAATGTGTAAGATCTAGTAAACCGAAGTGAAACGGAGAGTTTCATGGAGGTAGGCCTAGGCCCAAAAATTGGGGCTGTAGCGCCACAGAAAAAAAATAAAGAGGGTTACTTTGAGTGCGGTAACTTAAAAGTGTTACTTTGCATTATTACATTAAATAGGCATGGGTTCAGGTATAGCTTACATGCTATTACCATAAACTTCTGATTTATAGTTAAGTATAATGACTGTTTCACAATACTCTCTTAAACAAGCATCATAAAAATGTTGCATGTATTCCAACTGGGGAACACTATATTGTGTGTATGAAGTACTGGTGGCACTTCCAACAACTCTGTGTTATGTCCATCAAGTTAATGCATTTATTCTCATATATATGCATACGCAGCAAACAGGGATGTAGCAAACTGTTAAGCAGAATCTGGGTGGGGCATGCAGGTGTATAGCAAATTATGGGTGGCAGTTGTAAAGGCCGGTTCCTATGTTTGTTGCCCCTTGATGAATTATGTAAGGTCAGTGAAATCTTTAACTCTCTGGTTCAGATAATGCTTAATGTGATCAGAATGTTGAATGATTATTTGTTATTTTCATATCCTTGTGACAATCACTCCAAAGGAAAAGAAATATTGCCGTACTCATATTACTATTGGAACTTTAGTACCACACTGTATTACGGATTTCAAATTATGTATTCAAACCATTTTTGGATACTTCCATGCTAGGTGGGTCCCTTGTCACCACAGCATGGCACATCCTTGGGTTGCAGATGGAGGAGACACCCTCCAGGTATGGAGGGAAGCTGCAAATATATTGAATAAGCAGTCGCAGACAGCCGACAAGGGATGGTCCTCCTGCTTGGGGGTTGGGGCTAACATGAGATTCGGTACTTGTCACAAGTATGTATAGGGCAGGTTCACTCAGGGCAGTGGAGGAAGAAATCTTATAAGTTAGATTTAGAAGGAGTACAGGAGGTAGATGGGACAGAGTTGGTATCACACCAGCAGGTGAATATAAATATACATTATTCTATGGAAAGGGGAATGAAAGGTTCTGTACAGGTGTGAAACTTGGGTCTCTGACATTAAGGGAGGAATATATAGTGGGGGTGTTTGACAACAGGGTGTTGAGGAGAATATTTGGACCAAAGCGAGATGAAGTGACAGGAGGCTGGAGAAAACTGCATAATAAGGAGCTTATAACTTGTACTCGTCTCCAAGTATAATTAATTTTTTTTTTTAATTCACTTAGTGGGGAGTGGAGCCCAACTGGGTCCACTCGGCAGGGCGGCCACTGATTGGGCCTATTTTAGTCTGCCCTGGGTGATTATGATGATGGAGAATTTGGTGGAATGAAGATTGGCAGGGGAAACCGAAGTACTCAGAGAAAACCCAACACAACGCCACTTTGTCCACTACAAATCCCATCTGACCAGACCCAGGATTGAACCCGGGCCACTGTGGTGGGAAGCAAGCAACTAACCACTTGAGCTAGGGCATGGCATGTAGAATGAATGGAGAACAGGAAGGCATATAGAATACTGGTTTCGGCCACATTGGCCATCATCAGGTAATTTCCCTTCTTTTCGGGAGACCACTGCACTGTATACTTGTTCACTGTGCTTCCATGGGCATCAAATTTTTGTTTCTATCTCATGATCAGAATGCCGTCGTTGCATTCTATTGCAGCTTTGGTAGTTTTTGTGTGTCTCTTGTATCACTAGTGCACACAGTCTACATAGGTAGACCGCACCAGTGATACATGTGACTCACGAAAACTACCAAAGCCGCAATACAATGCAACGACGGCATTCTGATCATGAGATAGAAACAAAATATTGACGCCCATGGAAACACAGTGAACAAGTATACAGTGCAATGGTCTCCCCAAAAGAAGGGAAATTACCTGATGATGGCCAATGTGGCTGAAACATGTTGAAAACTGGAACAAATACATGACTACAGACATTCTAGAAAATTGGATAATCACTTCTAATGTACAGAATATGCTTTTAATGTCCTATTGACATGTAATGATTTTAACAATATCAAAAAGTGGTGAAATGCATTTTTAGAGTGAAACAAATTCCTAATGTCTTTTAAATTGTTGCATTATTGATGGATACTTTGATAATAAAGGATGATGCCTTAAGATGAATGTGGTATTTAACAAGCAATGTGCAACACAATATGATTCTCTTTAGACATTTCACAGAAACAGCTCTTCAAAATCTATTCTCCACAGATCAGTTGTTTTAAGACAGACAGAGATGAGTAAAAGCAATACACAATTCTGGATATGTGTAAGATGTGACTGAGAGCAGATACACACACATACACAACTCACCTCATGTTCAACCTCTACTCCTGAAAATGAGAAGGGTACAAAATTCTCCTCCTCGTCTATATCTGAGCCTTCCTCAATTTTTATATTGATGACCTGTTGGAAATCATCAGAAGATGGTGGACATGTCTCGCTCCATGCATGTGGTGCATCTTTCTGTAAAAACATCATGCCATTATCAACTGTGGCTGCAGTCTCACTTTACATGAATGTGACACACTTTTGTTATTACAACCATTTCACACTGCATTAAACTGAAAACATCAGTTGTTTACAAATTTTCATTCTTACAACTTTCAACGCTGCTACTAAGAACTAAACAACACATTCTTCTTCAGAAGCTAACAGTCTCTCGGCTAGTACAGAAGTTGCATGTCATTTACTGAACCCAAATATTCGTTAGTGTAAGACTGCCAATGGTCCCTACAAAGAGTCAAACAAATCCGATCCACAGCCTGCAACAATAGTGACAGGAATTTGTGCCACGTTAATGTAGCTGCAAAGGCAGGCAGGGAGGCATCTGAAGAAAATAACATCATTTATTTCATATAAAATAAATGCAACTAATTATAGTCACTTTACTTCTTCATTCACAACATGTTTCGGCTGTATATGGCCATCATCGGGAAGCTACCAATATGCTAGAATTGCTGCACTGCATGGTATCTCAAAACATCACACCACTTGTAATGCAGTACTTACTTATGAAATTAAAAATTAAATTAGGTCAACTCTAATAAATTTTAGTTAAAACCAGTTAAATCCCATTCATCTTGTGGGTATCATCTGCTTGTCCAAACGACTTGTTTGTGCAACCTTTCCCGCAGCATGGGTGTATTCAGGTTATCGTGTAGTTCTTGAATGTAGGTGTGGTGTTTTCTCTTATCTGCAATGTGTAAAGGATACTGTTATTATATATTATTTGTATAATTCGTTTCTATTGTGACGTGGATGGCGCAACAGGAAGTAGGGGTCACGTGAACTCTGCAGTCTCGCGAGTGATGTCACATACCCCCACTCCTTCCATCATTAAGCAACGCTCAGTAAACACCCCTCCCATGCGGTGACGTAACAGCACTTCCCACTGTTGTGTAACGTTCTTCAGATTCCTGTAATCCATGAAGAAGCAGAGTTGTCCACTCTTCTTTCGTTTTCCATCTTCCCCCTTCTTTCCAGAGTGTTCGTCCCAAGCACTTCCATGGTCCAGGATTTGTTGGTCCCATTGTCTCACATTCATTCTTTCCTCATTCATTCTTGCTAGGGAGGCCGGTGTTTCTACCACCGGTTCCTCCCATGCGGGCCGTTTCCTTTCTTTCATTTAGGAGGGGGTCAACCCCTCCAGTGTCCAGTTTTTGATGTCATTTGTTGCGATTCCGCGCAGCACGTCTGCTTGTGCACTTGCACATGCCTCAAACTGCCTTCTTAATCTCCTTATTGTCTCTCTCAATCTTGAGTCATTCTATTTCTTTTCCCTTCACAACGAATTCTTCTGTCGTCCTCCTGCATTCAAGTTCTTCTTGTCTCCTTTTCGACACATCCTTATGTGGGCTTGTGCGTGACTCCAACTGATCTCCCTGAGATTTGAGTTTTTTGTCCTGTGCCACATTTGCGTAGCGAGCCATATTCTTGTCAGCCATGACCAGTCATTTCCTCGGGAATCCACCAGCTCCGAGTAAAATTCTTCTTCACAATGTCTCTCTTGCGTCGTGCCACTGTTGCGCAGCAGGACATCTCCTTGTCTATTGGCGTTTTCCATGCCACTTTCTCACAGCGTGTAGTCCCTCTGCGGGTGACAGCTGATTTCTTCTGGGGTCCACAATTTTCCCATGTCAAATGCTTCGGTTTCTGACGGTGGCACTCCATGGCCAGTTTTCAGTCCTTACATCATTTCCTCAGTTCTCCGACCGGCATTAACGTGGTGTCTTCTGCGGTAACCTCTTGTTGCCCTGCCGTCTCAGGTTCCTTGTCCAGTGAGGCTGGCTTCTTCTCATCTTGACGTGCCTCCATCTCTTGGCAGGCCAACATCTCATCGTGGTTGTCGTTCATCCATTTGTCTCTCATTACAGCCATCTCTTCTCGCCATGTTTTCATATTGGCCTGTCTGTCAGCCTCCAGTTTGGTCAGTAGTTCTTTGTGGCCAGCCATCATTTGTCCTTGGCCCACTAACAGACGTTCCATCATCTGTTGTAAGTCCATTCTAGCTTGTGTGGCGTTATAACACTCGAGGTGGCGTTAGTCTAATAACTCTTCCAAATTCGTCTCAGAATCCGAACTGATCCCACTTCTGACACCAGTTGTCATGTGTTGGGTATGTCACGCGACAAATAATTTCATGTGGTTCTCGGATTTAGCAAATCTTTATTGGACACTCACTCTCACACACCTTACAATTATTACCAGACTCGAGGATGGAAAACAAAAGAAGAGTGGAGAACTCCGCTTCTGCGTGGATTATAGGAAGCTGAACGACATCACCAAGAAGGGCTGCTTTCCACTACTATGGATTGACGACACCCTGGACACACTGGCTGGGTCCAAATGGTTTTCCACTCTCGATCTAAAGAGTGGCTATTGGCAAGTCGACGTACACCCAGACAAGGAGAAGACAGCATTTTCGACAGGTCAAGGACTATGGCAGTTCACAGTCATGCCCTTTGGCCTCCACAATGCCCCGGCAACCTTTGAGAGACTAATGGAGACAGTCCTACGAGGCCTCACGTACGATTCGTGCCTCATGTATCTGGACGACGTCATCGTAATAGGTCGCACACTCCAAGAGCACCTGCTCAACCTACAGAAAGTGTTTCAGAGGTTCCGAGGGGCCCGCCTGAAACTTAACCTGGGAAAGTGTCAACTTTTGCAGAAAGAAGTCAGGTACCTCGGACATATTGTAACACCAGAAGGGATATCGACCAATCCGGAAAAAGTGAAAGCCGTGCGAGAATGGCCAATCCCAAAGGGTAAACACGAAATTAGAAGCTTTCTGGGCCTACGCACATATTACAGGCGATTTATCTCAGGTTTTGCCAATATTGCAAAACCACTAACTAGACTAACAGAAGAGAAACAGGCCTTCCAGTGGACTCCAGAGGTGGAGGCCACTTTCCAAACACTAAAGGGAGCTCTATGTGCCGTCCCTATTCTCGCCTACCCCCAGCCAGGAGAGAGGTGCATCGTAGACACAGATGCAAGTAATGTCGGAATTGGAGAAGTACTCTCCCAAATACAGGACGGACAGCAGCATGTCATAGCTTACTTCAGCAAGATGCTAAACAAAGCAGTAACTACTGCGTCACCCGACGAGAACTACTTGCCACAGTGAGGAATCTGGAATATTTCCACAAGTACCTGTACAGACAACACTTCCACCTGCACATGGACCACTCTGCACTAACCTGGCTAATGAGCTTTAAGAATCTAGAAGGTCAAACCGCACGTTGGATACAGCACCTACAAGAGTATAACTTTAACTCAGAGCACCGCCAAGGTCAGAAACACAACAACGCCAATGCTCTTTCAAGGCGACCCTGCCAAAAGCAGTGCAAGCACTGCCACGAAGTTGAGATAAGTGCAGACTTAAAGCAGATACGAGCTATTGCAGCCCTACCCGCAGCCGGCTGGGACCCAGTTGCCTTAAGAGAGGAACAGTTAAACGACCCATACACAGGGCCTATTCTACAGGAAGTAGAAACCAGACAACAACCTGAGTGGAAAGATATCGCGGATCGGAGTCCTATGTACAAAAGCTACTGGGCTCAGTGGAAATCGCTCACTGTGAGAAACAGCGTACTAGAGCGCAACCAGGAATCTGCCAACGGACGATATCAAGTACCCCAGATAATTATTTCTCGGAGCAGGATGAAGGACGTGCTGACAGAGCTACACAGTGGACCATCAGGAGGCCACTTGGGAGTCAATAAACCCCTAAACAAGGTTCGGCAGCTATACTACTGGCTCCAAGCAAGGAGCGACATCGAAAAATGGTGCTGATAGTGCGACATCTGCACAGCCAGCCATGGCCCACGGACCAGAAACAGGGGCCAAATGCAACAGTACAATGTCGGGGCCCCATTTGAAAGGATAGCAATTGATGTAGCTGGACCCTTCCCACTGAGCGAACATGGAAACCAGCATCTCTTGATCACAATGGACTATTTCACAAAATCGTCGGAAGCCTACACCATCCCAAACCAGAAGGCATCGACAATAGCGGAAGTTCTGGTCACGAACTTCTGCTGCTTCGGCATACCTCAAGTTGCATAGTGACCAAGGCCGTAACTTCGAGTCTTGTCTGCTACAAGAAGTTTTGCAACGCCTAGGAGTGAGCAAGATGAACACCACGCCCCTGCACCCGCAGTCGGACGGCATGGTGGAACGCTACATTAAAACCATCGAGGAACATTTATGGAAGGTCATCGCATCCCACCAGAGGGACTGGGATGAGAGGTTACCCTTCTTCCTCCTAGCTTACAGGGCATCCACTCATGACACTACGGGCTTCACCCTAGCTAACCTAGTGTTCGGATGAGAACTCCGACTACCCTGTGATCTGCTGTTTGGAGTACCCCCAGACAAGGAACTACACACAACCGACTATGCAGCAGACTTAGTGGATCATCTACACGACATCCACAATTATGCGCGGCAACACCTGAAGCTCGCCAGTGACCGAATGAAAACTTGGTACGATAAACTAGCCAACTCCACAGGGTTCCATGAGGACGGCAGAGTGTGGCTCTACCGGCCAGCCCGCAAAAAAGGGAAATCACCAAAACTTCAATCCTCGTGGGAAGGCCCTTACAAGGTAGTCAACCAAATAAATGATGTAGTATACAGAATCCAGAAGAACCCTAGGTCGAAGATGTTGGTAGTACACCTGGACCAGCTCACACCCTACTATGGAGCTGCTCAGGACGAGCACCAATGAAAAAGTGGGGCAGAGGTAACATGCAGAAGATGAACACCTTAGGAAACAAAACCAAGGAAGTATCGTTAGGCTGTTCGGGGACGAACAACCTTTAGAAGGGAGCAATGTGACGCGTTATCTTACGTCAATTATAGCGACAATGGCTACAATCAGAACGGACACTTCCACAGCAACGAATACGTGGAAATTGGGGAGTGAACAGAGCGACAAATTGTAGCAACGAATTAACGTTGAGTAACATCGGATGAGATGAAACACGTTACCGGTGTATTCTATAAGGAGCGTTCCTGAAGCAACAGATTGCCGAACACGTGACATCGAACCCTGGCGAGGGGTGTCCTCTATTGAGTCCACGTGTGGCTTATACAAAGATCCAAACCTTGAACGGAAGTTGAGTATTGGAAGAGACAGCCTTGGAACAGCTGCCGCTAGAGACAGTCTTGGGATAACCGTGATCGAAGACAGTCAAGAACCAGCCACGGCCAAGGACAGTTGAGATGTCCCATTGGAGTATTGGGCCAGAAGTCAAGTGATATTGCAAGTGGTAATAATTGTAAGGTGTGTAAGAGTGAGTGTCCAATAAAGATTCGCTAAATCCAAGACCCACTTGAAGTTATTTGTCGCATGACATACACAACACATGACACTATATTAGTTTAATTTTATATTTTTTATATTGTATGCAAATATTATGTGTGTTCAGCGTGTCTATCCAGCTTTTATAACGTTAAATGGGGGAGTACGTGCTATTTGATGTAAGGCTCATGCAATGTTTCAAATATGTGGTTGTGTCAATATATGTATCACTAAAATGTAATTTATCTTTACTGATTCTACAGATATGATATTTTTTCTAAGGTATTTAGATGTTTGCCTTTCTTTTATATATCCATAGTGTCCATTATGGTTCCATATCTATGTCCTGCGTTTAGTATACAGTTTGAGTATCCAGAATTGCCACTGTTGTTGCCGATTGCATGAATGTGTTTTTATACCTTATATTAAGTGTTCTTCCTGTTTGTACGATGTATTTTGGTGGACAATCTAGGCATTTCATTTGGTAAATGCCACTTCTGTTATACCTGTGTTTGTGTATGGGACTTTGGTATATTTTGTTTGCTTTGAATAAGTTTGGTAATTCTTCTTACTTCTTTACCGCTGTATGGGAAGGTGACCCATTTTGCTTTTTGGTGCTGGGGTTCAGTGCATCTGTTTTGTTTTTGTGACAGAGGTTAGTGCTGTACTCATTGTGTAGTATGTTTTTGATGGTATTCATTTCTATATCTTTCACTTTCTTAGTTATTGGATATGTGTGTAACTGATTTACTAGGTAGCTAATACCTGACAGTTTAGGTTCGTATGGATGACATGAACTATTAAGTATTTTAATAGAAATTTGTGGGAGTTTTCTATATACTGATAATTGCAAATTTGTCTTTGCAATGTACTATAAGATCTAAAAAAAAAATTGCTAATATCTATGCAAAAGGTTTCGCAAGTGCACTCCTCTTGCCAAGTGTTACAATCAAAATTTTGTGTGCAATTCATCTCTCTCATATTGCATGCTATGAGAGCAACCCATCTTGTTCTCCTTCTTTTGACATTCACAATAATATTCTGTAATGAGTACAAATTCTGAATATCCTCAGCACCCTCTCCTCAGACATCCTCGGTGTATATTCTTCTTCCCTTAAATTGTGAGACCAAGTTCTGTGTATATTTAATCCCTAGGTATCCAGGGAGAAGGTAAGAAGACAAAAATTCCGAATTATTCTATTCTACTTTTCAGTTTACTCAATATTTCATTTCATGCAACTTAAAACTGCACAAAGTAACAGCAGTATGTCACAAGAAATGTGAATCAGAATACAATCCTTTGAGACAGTTCAAATCTGACCATTAGACTGTTTTTTTTTTTTTTCATCTAGACACAGACAGACTCAGATGTGGAGAAGAGTTAGACAACAAGCAATTCTGAATATTTGTGAAATATGTGTAACAGTGGAGAAGCATACAACTCACCTCACATTCAGCTTTTATTGCTTGACATGTTACTGGCAGAGGCACCTTCTCCTCTTTTATATCTAAGACGTCTTCAACTTTTATACTGACAAAGTGATCCGCATCATGAGATGATACTGAACATGTCTCAGCACACAGACCTCGTACATCTTTCTCTAAATCTGCACAGTTCTGTAATACCACCATACCATTACCATTATGGCTGTGCTCTCATTACATGAAATACAATACACTTTCACTACTATGACTGTTTTGCAATGTGTGAAGCAGACAACACCTGTTTTGAACAGATTTTCTTTGTTACAACTTCCATAAATGTTACTAAATGATAACTAAACAGAATACTGTTCTCAGAAGTTAATGGTCTCTTGGCTAATGTAGGAATTGCCTGCCATGCATACACCCCCCCCCC